TTGAAACTTGGTGAGGGGGATTCACAGTTCCTTCTAACAAAGATTCCAGACAATACAGCAATATTGAATGAACGTGATAAATGTAAGGTATGTTCTGGGTAGTTTTATGTCAAGCCCAGATAAGCTGAATTCCTCTGAGAGGAGGGAACCACAAGTTAAAAATGCTCCCACAAAATCTGGCAAGCTTGTAGGTCATGGTCTTAATGACTGATGATAGCATAGGGCCCCACCCATGCTGGTGGTCCTTTTCTATAAGAAACCAGGCTGAGTGAGCCACAATAACAGTCCAGTGAGCAGCACCCACCTCTGCACCATCCCAGCTACAGGTTCCTGCCCTGTTAGAGTCCTGTCCTGACTTCCTTCAGTGATAAACGGTGCCTTGGAAGTGGAAGCCAAATTAACTCTTTCCTCCCCAAGTTCCTTTGGTCACGATGTTTCCTCACAACAATAGTTACCCTACCTGAGGCAAGGTGACACCAGGATAGTGTGGCAGAGTTGTGACAAACCTGGCCATGCTTTGTGGGTAGAATTGTAGAAGGACTTTGGAACTGTAGCCTAGAAGAGTCATCTCATGTTGAGAGTTCACTGGAGCATTCTTTAGGAGCTTGGAAGAAAACCATGTGGAAGAGTAGGACAGCAGACACTACTGTGCCAAAGAACCAAGAGTCAAAGGTTCTGGGTAGCTGGGGCTGAGGAATCACCTGTGATTAACAAGGTACCAGAACCACTAAAGTGAGACTTTGCTTTGCTGGGGACTCCATGCTGCTCAGCTGGAGCTGAGAAATTAGCAATGATTACGAAGAAACCAGAATCTTTAGGTGAGGTCTTCTGGAAAGTGTTTCCTGAGAGTCAGCATCAAGGCTGTGTTCCAGACATGGCCAAGGTTGTATCCTGTGCTGAAAGTCGAACTTGGCAGTGTAAGATCCACTATTTTTGAAGGTATGAGGGGGCCGTGGAGAGCAGCTGAGGCTTGGCAATGTGTGCCAGAGTCAGAGTCCATGTAAACAGCCCAGAATAGGCTACTAGTGAAAGTGCAGTTGCAGGTGAAGACCCAGCATTTTACAGACGCCAGTGTCAAGGGTCGACCACCAAGAGCAGCAGTGGCAGTGAATGGTCCAGACAGCTGATAGAAGACAAGCTGTGTGTCAGATCATGGAGTGGAGAAGCTGTCAGTGTGCAGCACATAGTTCAATCATGGACCCTGTGTCCAGGTTCTCACTGGGGATCCAAACCTGGGCCCCTTCTCAATCAAGACTTTCTAGTGCAGCCAGCCTCCTAAAGACCATATTAAAAACAGAGTCTAAGGAACCGCAGAATGTAAGAGCTTCAGGAAAAGGGAAGTGTCATGAAAGTCCCAGCTGAGTAACTGGAGACATGAAAACTGATGTCATCCCCAAAGAAGAGCAGAGATGTAAGCTATCCTAGTTAGTGTTCCATTGCCACTCTTGTGAAGGAGAGCATTTGATTAGGGCTGGCTTACAGTCTCGGGGGTTTAGTTCATTGTTGTCATAGCAGGGAGTATGACAGCACACAGCAGACATGATGCTGCAGAAGAGGCTGAGAGTTCTCCATCGGGATCCTCGGGCACAGGAAGAGAGGGAAACATGGGACCCCCGTGTCTTCATCCAACAAGGCCACACCTACCCCAACAAGAATACCTCCAAATTCTTCTCAGTAATGCCACTCCCTGATGAGTTAGCACTCAAATATGTGAGCCTATGATGGTCTGTCTTCAAACCACCACATAAGCTCACTGCCTCAGTTTCCCTCCTGTGCTCTGCACCTCCACTCCAGACTGGGGCCTGACATCAGGGTTGTCTTTGTAATGATCCTCCTTTCCTACATTTCTTCAAAGCATCTTTTACAAATCCAGCATCCACACACCAAGGATGACAACAGCTGTGCAGACAAAGTCTCTCACACTATTCCACTCTGTCTGCTGATATCAAAGCCAAGACATGATCCCACAAGCTTATTGTGTCTTAGGATAACTGCTGTTGTACCAAAGGCTTTACCTGGGCAGATGCGTGCACACACAAACACACACACACACACACACTCACCTCAGCATCAGAACCTAGCACAGACCAAAGCACAAGAGCAGGAAGGTCCAACTTGGGGAACCACTGGGTTTTCTTGGGGGTTACTAACAGGAGTTGGGGAAGGAATCACTTACAGGAGCTGGGATGAATTCACAGCAGGTTCATCACTGCAGAGCTCACCTCACTGAACAGCAGAGCTGAATCTGCACAGCTTGCAGGCCTCGGACAGGTCTGGAATCTTACATGAGCTAGACTGGTCATTGTTGTCTCCTTCTACAGCCTGGTTTGTCCTCTAAAACTTCTTAGTTTCACTTTCTTAACCATGGGAAGTTTCTTATTTCCTGGGTTTAAGGAAGAAAGGTGTGGCCATACTACATAAAATTAGAAGTCATAAAGTGTCAAGATGCATAAATATGGAAAACTTTAAAAGGCCAGCTTCCAAAATTTTCACTCAGGGTTCAAAAAAGGAACTACAAATAAGGGAGGGAACTATTATCTGAGGGAAAAAGACTCTGACTCACACACAATTGCTCCTCTGCATGTTCTTAATTCTTTCTCTTTGTCTCCTGCTGATCTGTTTCTCTGTCTAACTATCTCTGCACCTCTTTGTCTCTCCGATTTGTATTTTGTCTCTCTAGCTCTCTTTTCTGTTTCTTTTTCTCTATACATCTGGTCTTCCCCCAGTGCTTGGGTGTACAGGTATACATATACACTTTTACAGCAATAATTCTTTGTAAAATACAATGTGAGGCTTCAGTTTCTCAGGGTAAGCAAGGCAGATAAGATTTACACACAGAACAATAAACTACAGCATCAGTGGCTTAGTGCTGTAAGTCAAAGAAAAGTCTAATTTTAATCTGCAACAGAAACAAAACCTGGTGCCTTCGAGTGCTCTAGCCTCAGTGGGAGCACAAGCCTTCAGGAAAGTTTGCATTTGCCTGAGGATGAGGAAAAGAGACGCATGACGTACAACGACTGATAGGTTTTGTTTTTAATGACTCAAAAGAGGAAAGGTGATGTCACTTTTCAGTTTCAGTGTATTCATGTCTGCCTGTCTGTCTGTCTGTCCAAATACCACAGGTAAGATGTGGCTCCAAGTTGCTATGGTCGGATGGCCTTAGAGTACACATGCCCCATTCAGGCTGTGGGCCTTGCAGCGATGATGGAAAAAAAAAAAAAGGCAGGGCTTTGGAATTCAGGTTTGTAAACTACTTCAGGTTGAGCAGCATGCGGTGGGGTGGGACCAGCTTTATGGGCCTGGGGATTGGACGAAGACAGACAGCAGTGCTCCACTCAGATCATAGTCTCCTCCTCCCAAAGGGAAGGACTAAGGCTGTTTGTAGGCTCTTCTCTCCGAGGACACTGTTAGTAAACCTGTTGTTCTGTTGTTCATGGTATGGCAAAGAACTCAGCCGCCTGGCACTGTCTTTCCACCAAGGCTCTGAGCATCTCCGTTCTACTGATTTCTTCAGGGTCTATGTGGCCCTCTGGTGAGTTACCGCGGTCTAACTGGAGGGCAGCGGGAAGTAGGAGGGCATTCGGGAGCAGGGATGGGGGAGAATCCGGGGAAAATACCAGCTTATTGAATCACGAGGTGGACGTCTTCCTCTAGGTAGTGGACTCTGACACACGTTCCCTTGCCCCGCCCCACCACTTTCCCAGCCAAGGAATGCTGCCTGAAAGTTATATTACCAGGAGGACAAATAAGGAGGGCAAGATGCCAGAGGGGAATCCTGGTGCTGCTGTCAGCTCTCAGCCGAACTGGGGTCCACAGGAAGCCTAAACCGAGTCAGGAGACCCTGAGGTGGTGGTCACAGTGAGAGACCCTTGGCAGTGTATGTTCTGAAGACTCTTCCCAGGGCTGTCTGCACAAGCCCTCCGCCTTTCCTGAACCTCTTTGCCGCAAAACTTTCTTTGTCTGCTTCCCACCGTATTTTTTAAGCAGATCACAACAGATGCTTCACGGATCTCTTTCTCTTTTTCACTTTCTCCCGTTTATTCTAGCCGTTGCTTTGTTTTATGGCAGATTTCACACCGAGGTCCACACTAACGAATTTGCAACACTCCCTTTTCTCCCTAGGTCTGTCAAGGGCTGGGATTAGGGATTTCTACCACCAAGATCAGCTTTGGTTCCATCTGACTCTTCAACCAGCTGCCTGCTCTGCTCCCTTCCCTGCCCCTCCCACTTTCCCATCCATTAAGTGTCTTTCAGTCCCTTCCCACCGGGAGACATTCTGTGGATTAGCTCCTCAGCTAATCAGGGGCGACTATGACGGATCCTGGCAATGGTACTGGGTGTGGATATGTGGAAAGCTCTGCCCTTGCCTCCCATGCCACTGTGGTGATGACTAAAGGCCTTGACTCCCTGCGCTTTTGCCAGTGAGGATGAATCTAGATGTCACAGAACCACGATTCCTTCGTACCTCACAGTCACGTGTCTCTCACAGGCACACACTATCTCAGGTGCGACTTCAGTATCAAGTCTCATCCCACAGACGGAGAAGAAGGTTGGGAAGTACAGTGCACGGCAGATGGAGTGACTTTACTTCACCATAGTAACGGAGGAAAGGTGGTAAATGCTGCTAAGACATGTGGAGGTTTGTACCCAAAACTAAAAGACACTGGAGAAGAGTTGAGGAAGCAGCTACTTCTCATGGAAAACCAGGCAGTGCTGACCAGGGGTAAGTAAGGGACAGGATGCAAAGAGAGAGGGTATCAATAAGAGACAGGAAAGAGAGAGCCCACGTGGGAAGGGGGCTGTGGCTGTATTAGCATAAAAGACATGAATCCTGCCCCAGGCTGGAAGGATTTGGTGCCCAATGGGTAAGAAATGATAAGTCTGGAAGGAAACAAAACAGGTCCTGAGGGTGCAGAGGAAGACTTGACCTCTGAGGGGGTGATGGCGCTATAAAGGGAGGAGATGACCATTTTGTGTCTCATTTGCAGGCCATCACGCCCTGGAGGGCACCATGGTATCTCAGTATAAACAAGGACAGCACACTGATGCCTCCTGGAACTTCACCATTGATGGACAGTACTCCTTCATCTATGTTCACTATAATCAAAAAAACAAGAAATGGAAGGTGATTAACAATAATGCCACAGGTGTCCTAGAGAATTGGGAGAATAATGCAGAACTAGCACAAGATCTAGCCATGCTCTCCATTGGAGATTCCAGATACTGCCTTGAGGAATTCTTAAAGCACCAGAAGGAAATGCCAAGTAAGTAGTTAGGTAGATTACCACAAGGAAACCTCTAGAAGGTGGTGAAGGCAAGGCAATTCTCTTGAAAAGTCTGGTGACTTCCCTGTGTAGATGTCAACATGTGTGTATAATGGAAGATTCAGTAGACTGAATTTGTGATTTCTTGATGGTCTTCTTCTCATGAGAGCCACTGAAAACCACAGTAATTTCTCTTTCCCATCTCACCTCCCAATGTTTCTCACTCCCTATTAATCAATGGTCCAGGCACTGCATGACCTGTTAATGGCCCAAGTCTGTGAGCATCACTGTAAACGTCCAGCCTTTCCTTCCTCACTCAGAGCTGCCCTTCCTCCAAGTCCACATCACTTGGAAAACTTTCAGTATCTTTCTCTGGTGCAATTAAACAACAATTGAGCCAACATCCAGAAAGTTCTCACCACCACAGTAAATATGTCACATTGTTTGATGGTTTAATAGACATTTGCTTTCTTTGGTAATTAAGTAAACCTCAAGGACATCTTACACAAAACTCTGCTCAGGAATTGAAAAACAGTTATTACACCTGAGTTCCTCGGGCTGTCTGGGGAGAGGAGGTGCTGGTGGAGTCTTGTTTGAAACTTTATCCAGAATTTTTCTGATTTTTTTAAAGGACCAACATCAAGAACCCCAAACTTTACACAGATTGCATCTGCCATGAACACCACCCAGCTTCCACCTATCAGGCAGCTTCGTGATAACAGAGAATCCATGGCAGTAGCCATCCCCATCATCCTCTGTGTTGTTGCTATTGTTGTTGTTATGGGCATTTGCATTTGCAAATATTTGAAGAAGAAAAGCCATCCCCAAAAAGGTAAGAAGGAAGCTGTGGTCCCATTCTGGTTTTTCGCAGGGTTAGTCTGCTGAGGACTTGTAGCAGGTGTCCCATGGGTATCAGGGATGTGAATTCTGGTCTTCATGCTAGCATAGCAGAGCCTTAACCACTGAGTCATCTTCTCATCCCTCCAACACTGACCTTTCACAGTCTGGCTGCCATTTCCCTACAATGTCTTCTGCTCAGACACCAGGAACTGAAGGAAACAAGCTCCCGAATGCCCCACTTGCCTGTGCCACCACCACGACACTTGCCATGTACTCACTCCATGTAAAGTCATTTGCACACACTCATTAGAATCCCCATTTTACTCTTTCCTGCTCACCTCCCTCCATGCAGGGTGTAGTTGACTGAATACATAGAGCGCATGAGATCCTGTGCCACTGTGTGCCCTGGGCAGTGTGATTGCTCTGGTAAAGTTCTCGTGTGCTGAAGCTGTTCATGTCACAGCAAAAACAACAAGAATTTGTGGAGTTGGTTCTTCCATCTGTCCCTCTTATTCCAGAGATTCAGTTCAGGTACCATAAACTCTTTTCCCACAGAGACATTTCACTGACCATAGGACAAGGAGTTGCCACAGGTTGTGGTGTGCTATGTCACAGCAGGGTGACCATAGAGACACTGCTCCACAGTTCTCTTCATCAGGAAGACACCCAAGATCTTAATAAAGACATCTCTCAACTCAGTTTCCCTATTTTGTCCTCAAGCATTCAAAGTGCACTTTTCTTTACGTAAGAACATGGGTATATGAGCAGCAGGACTGTAGACCTAGAGAGGGAGCATATAGAAACTTTCAGAATGCAGACTCCTTGAACTTAGAATTTATGTCTGATGGTGTCATTTAAACACCCACAAGACTCTGTTCCTTGCTCCAATGTTTCCAGTGTAACACTATATGCTCTAGCCAAAATGCTATCAGTGCCAATTGTTGTCACTTCCTGGTATAGCAATACATGAACATGGGGAGTTAGAGCTAGGATCCCAGCACTGGGGAAGTGGAGCCAGGGGATCAGGAATAAAAGGCCATCTTTGATTGTGTAGTGAGTTTAAAGTCAGTTCCAGCTACAAGAGGAGACCCAATCTCACAGAAAGAAAGACTAGAAATTATTATTACAATTTATCATCATCATCATCATTATTATTATACATAGGTTTATGTCTAAATAAATCTTATTGGAGAATGGCACTAAATATTATGCCTGTGTCATACTCCATGCATTAGTAGCTGTGCCTTTATGATAGTCTTTAAGACAAAAACAGAATAAAAAAAGTTTATTTACCAGGTGGCACTGCAATACATATCTGTACTTCCAGCACTCAAGAGGCTGGGGCAAAAGCATCACCAATTTCAAGGCCAACTTGAACTGCATGGTGAGATCCTGATGAAACAAGCAGCCAATCAAAAAACCAAAACGAAACAAAAGGAGAACCTATATAATCTACCGATTTCTTTGCTAGACTTCAGTGCACGTAAAACTTCAGTGCTAATCTTGGTGTCCTTTGGAATTGCAAAAAATGTTTACAAAGCTCATTCTCCTCACCAACATCATTACATTTTGCCATCTGCAGTCTAGAGGTAGCATACAAAGTGTGATGGAGATGGCCAAGAGACTGATTTTCTATTATGTTAAATCTCCCCTCTATAAGAATGCTTATTTACATGTAATATCAGTTAATATGAAACCCTGTGTTTTATTTTCCTTTTTTAGTATTTGAGTAGGTATAATTATTTCAATATGATTCTTTTTAATTTTTCTACTAGGAGAGAGCTCGAACTACTCATTTTTCAGTCCAGTTTCCCGAATTTGGGGAAATTGCGGGGGTCAGCACACCCCAAGTGCAATGGGTGAACCTCACCCTGAGAATACCACGAACATGATGGTGATGTATCCCCTACTAGGTAAGCATTCAAGATATTTGTTTGTTTGTTTGTTTGTTTGTTTTTATAAACTGTAAACTCTGGGTAGTATTGCACATGCTCGTGATCTCAACACTTGAGAAGCAGGGATAAAGAGCCTGTGGTACACGTGAAGTTCCAAGAAAACTTGGACCAGAAACCAATGCTTTGTCTGAAAAGAACCACAAAAACTCATTAAAAGTAAAGTGAAAGCTAAACTACAAATATAGATATTTGGGGACCTTTCACATGTCAAAACCTCATTTCCATCTGAAGGACAAAAGAGCAAAAAGGATTAAAGTAAAGACACACACACACACACACACACACACACGATGAAGTGCACGTCTGTGAAGTGGGGAGATCGCGCATCTGAAATGGAGTAGAGTGGGCTGCAGATGTGCAGGTGCCCACTCTAACTGGCCCCCTTTTGTTACCAGGTGCTTCTCCGCAATGCTCCCTAGAGTCCTCATCTGGAGTCTGATTTACACTCAGTGTCTCCAGCTGCTGCTACTACTCCTCTTCTGCATCACAGCCAGGAAAGAAAGACACCTGATGATGTTGGGAATCTACCGTTTGACTTCTGACCAAATGTGCTGTGAATAATTTAAGTTGACCGTCTCCATGCCTCCTCTATCTCTTCCTCAAGATGTAACAGGTCATTGTCACCAGAGACTCTATATAGCTTTATTCCTGTTCCCTTTCTCACTCTTAGACTATGACCTCGAGGAGATTAGGCTACTCCCTGGGCTAGGTTACTCCTTATTGTGTAAAATGATGGCTTTTATCCTGGGTATTCCTCAAGGTGACTCCATTTTAAAAGCAACAAGTTGATGCCTGGACATCTCCTGTACACTTAGACATGCCTTCTGTCTAGCACCACCCATAAGACAAAGTCAGATCAATGCCTTATTCCTAAAAGTCAAAGACATCACTCATACACATATCAAAATCAATTACACACATGAGCATGAGGGCATTTCAAAATCATCTGTGCTGGATATGTAATGTCAACTTGACACAAGCTAGAATTATCTGAAAGGAGGGAACCTCAATAGAGAAAATGTCTCCATAAGATCCAGCTATTGGGCATTTCCTTAAATAGTAGTTGATGGCAGAGTGATGGGGAATGTTCTTCTGTGTATATGTTTCTCTTATTCCTTAGTGAATAAAACACTGGTTGGCTGATGGGCCAGACACGAAGTGAGATACCTGGACAGAATGAGGTTATAAGCAGGGACAAACAGCAAATTGCTCTCTTCTCTGTTGGAATGCTGAGCAGTCATCATGTAGCAGGCACAGTAATTGTAGGCCCGGCCTTCCCTGGTAAGCCAAGACCACGTGGAAATATATGGATTAATAGAAATGGGTTAATAATTAAAACAGAGCTAGCCAATAAGAAACACTAGTCGCCAGCCAACAGTATCATAATTAATATAAGACTATGAGTGTTCATTTTGGGGCTGACACAGCTGTGGAACCAGGCTGGCAGGGACAGAATGCTCACAAGAGCAGAAGGCCCAGTCCACTGTGGGTGGTACCATCCCTGGGCTGATGGTCCCAGGCTCTTTAATAAATCAATGGAACAAGCTGTGGGGAGCAAGTCAGTAAGCAGCACCCTCCATGGCCTGTGCATCAGCTCCTGCCTCCATGCCGCCCTGCTTGTATTTCTGTTCTAGTTTCCTTCAGTGATGGATACCACATGGAAGTGTAAACCAAATAAACCCTTTCCTCCCCAGCTTGCTTTTCTCATGGTGTTTCTTCACAGCAATAGAAACCCTAAATAAGACAACATCTGAACAATCAGACCTGAGAAATTGTCAAATGTCCCAACCTCAAGTAGGAGCAGCACCCAAGCCTGGACCCACAAGAAGAGCCACCTGTGACAGGCTTGGGTGGGCGTGGACAACAACCAGCTCCCACACCATGACATGGAGAATAATTATTAGTTATGGATGCTTATCTTTGGTAACTCTTATAATTTAAATTAACTTGTTTCTCTTTACCTATTTTGCCTTGGGGCTTTTTACCATTTTTTTTCTTTGTATGTCTTACTTTCATGCTGTTTCCATGTGTGGCTTGGGGACAGCTGCCTGGCCTCTGACTCTGGGTGAATCCCACCTCTTTTTCCCCCTTCTCTCCTCTTCGCTGAGCCTAAATTTCTTCTCTTAGTTATTCTCTCTGCCTACCACCCTGCCTATCCCTCTTTGCCAAAGCTATTAGCCATTCAACTTTTTTAGTACACAAAAAAATCAGTTGCCTTAGGCAGACAAGGTGAGGCAGGAACATATCTTTACATAATTAAACAATGCAACATAAACAAATGTAACACATCTTTACACAGTTGAAATAATATTCCACAACACAACCTAACACAACTACCGAGATACCCATCACTCACCTCACAACACACTCCCCTGTGAGCAACAAGAGACCATCAAGCAGAGAACTGATGTCCTCTGTGCTTCAGCTCTATTCCTAACCATGCTGTGTGTCCATTATTTAACTTGGTCCCTCCCCTTCCCTCCCATGGTCCTCACTTCACCCCCTGCAGTTCCATTCAAACCTGAACATGGCTAAGCTCCTTTTCTCCCTAGCTCTCCAGTTGGCTCCTAAATATATTGAGAGACCAACTACCTCTGCACCACCTCTCTACCTGGGACTTTAGTGAAGCTTCTATGTGTGGATTCGTTAATCCTTCCATGACCATGCCATAAATTACACACATATATCGCATGCATGTACACAGACATATCATATACATGCACACATATGATATATATAAGCCTTCATAACCAATCCATAACCTATACACATATATCACATACATGGACACAGGCAGACACACACATATACACACAGATAACATACATACACAGACATGTATATGTACATACACATACATGTGTATACATATATATATATATATAAAACTGTGATGTGTAATATAAGATATTAGAGTTAAAGCTAGTAATCAATATTGGAATAAAAGAACCCATATTTGCCAGTGACCACCTATCAAAATAATTGGAATTATTTGACAAATTGTAGCAAAAAAACAGGTGTAGGGTTATTAATTTATTATTATGCAATAAATACTGATATTGTAGAATGAAACAAAAATATCCACCTACATTTCTGACATAGCATGTTCATTGAAAGATTCCATTTATTAATGGAATCCTAGGAGAAAATAATCCTTTGGTAAAGTAATCTGAAATACACAAATTTTTGTCACTCAAGTGAAACACTTGGTGATGTGATAAAATTCATCAGTCCTACCAGAGACTTCTGCTAGACACTAAGCTTGCTCTGTTGGCCCAGGGCCTATTGCATACCACAGTGTAACCTTACACTGTTCAGGTGACTCCCGACACATGGGCTAGAATGAGGGAAACCTCCAATCCAGGGAGATGAAGAGGTAAGAGGGCTGGCTAGGCACATGGTCTCATCTGTGAGAGGTCCTGAATCATGAGGAATTGTTTAGCAAAGTTAAGTAAGAAATAAAGGAGAACAGAAAGAAAGAAGCAAACCTCAGATCACATCCCACAGATCCCAGCATTCTGACCAGCTCTCTGTGGTTTATTCATCCATTGTGACCTGAGTCAGGTCAGCCCCAAAGCCACGAGTGTCCAGATGAGCATGGAAGTTTCGAGAAGGACCATTGCTCTAAGCGCTATTAGAATGTAAGCAGGGCTCAGTGAGGAGTCTCCTTTTAATGCCTAATGCTCTAGTCTGAAAGCCTATCTTGTGTGACTTTATCTGCCTCCCAGGAATACACAAGTCCATAGGCAGTGAAGACCATTTTGCCAGCAAAGACTTCAGTTCATTGGTGAACTGGTTTCTGTTGCTTTGTCATGGTTTCTGTTGCTGTGAAGAGACACCATGACCAGGACAACTCATATCAGAGAAGACATTAAATTGGGGCTCCCTTATAGTTTCAGAGCTTTAGTCCATTATCATCAAGGCATGACATGTCAGCTTGCAGGCAGACACAATTCTGAGGAAGAGCTGAGAGTTCTACATCTTGGTCTGCAGACAGCAGGAGGAGGATTAGTCACACTTACCCAGCCTGAAGTTCTAAGAACTCAAAACCTACCTCCAACAAGGTCACACCTTCTCCCCCAAGACCACAGCTCATAATAGTGCTACTCCCTATGGGCAACCACTCAAACACATGAGTCTATTTGGGCCATACCTATTCAAGCCACCACAGGCAATTCAGACAGGTCTTCCGTCCTATCTCCCTGGCTTAACATCCCAACATAGATGACACCGAAGACAATGACCTTAAAAACAACTTCATGAAGATGATAGAAACCCTAAAAGAGGAAATGAGAAAATCCTTTAAAGAATGGAAAAAAACAAACAAAAAATTTTCAAGAAATGGAGGAAAAGACAAACGAAAAATTTAACATTGCAAGGTTTGAAAGCTGAAATAGAGATAATAAAAAAAGATACAGTCTGAGGGAATGCTGGAATCAGAAAGGCTGGGTAAATGATCAGGAACTACAGATGCAAGCATATCTAACAGAATACAAGAGTTGGAAGTGAGAATCTCAAGCATTGAAGATACACTAGAAGAAACAGATTCATCGACCAAAGAAAATCTTAAGTCCAACAAATCCCTAACACAAAATATCCAATAAATATGGGACACCATGAAAAGACCAAACCTAAGAATAATAGGTATAGAAGAAGGTGAAGAAAACCACCTCAAAGATGTGAAAAGATCAAACCTAAGAATAACAGGGATAGAGGAGAGTGAAGAAACCCACCTCAAAAGTGCAGAAAACATATTCAACAAAATCAAGAAGAAAACTGTCCCAACCTAAAGAAATACATGTCAATGAAAATACAGAAAGTTTACAAAACACCAAATAGAGTGGACCATAAAAAAGGCCCCTGGCAACATAATAATCAAAACACCAAACATACAGAATAAGGAAAAAATATTAAGAGGAGCAAAGGAAAAAGGCCAAGTAAGGTATTCAAACAAACCTATCAGAATTAAACCTGACTTGTTCATGGAAGCTCTGAAAGCTAGAAGGTCCTGGAAAGATATTCTACAAACACTTTAAAACAATGGTTGTCGATCCAGATTACTGTACCCAGCAATATTTCAATCGCTATAGACAGAGAAATTAATATACTCTATGACAAAACCAGATTAAAACAATTCATATCCACTAGTCCAGCACTACAGAAAGAACTGGAAGGAAAACAGCAACCCAACGAAGTTAACTACACTCCCAAAAACATAGGCAATAGATAATCCCACCTCACCAAAAGCCAAAAGAAAAAGCAGAGTAAATCCACACACACAATTCCACCACCAATAACAAATCCAAAAAGAACAAGAATTAACATTCAGTGGTCCTGAATTTCCAGCAACGGTCTTCACAGGCTAACGGAATGGATACGAAGGCAGAATCCATCCTTCTGCTGCATATGAGAAACACACCTCAACTTCAAAGACAGACA